CCCCCCCCCCCGCGCCATCAATATAGATATTTTAAAATAATTTAATTCTTCATGCGACGTGAACAAAAATATTTTATAATTTTGCGATAATAATATAATTCTTGAAATTTTATTGCGAAATTGTTTAAATTTATGTCATTTATGTGATAATTTAAAAGTACTTACGCAACTAAAAAAATACGCAAAATAAATTCTTTGTAAATTTCTTTCAGCGGCAAGGAAAAATCTTCCATAATTTGCACTTTAATTGCACAACTCCGCAATAATTGTATGAATCGGACATAACTTCAATTAAAGCATTATAACTATTATATTCGCGAGTCGATATTACGTTCCATTCGAATTATAGGCAATGCGCTTCGGATTCCCATTCAAGCGACAATACAGTAAAGGTCGTCTATAACTTATGCGCCTGTCTTACTTTCACAGTGTGGCTAGACTCGACCATTCAGGTTTCTAGCAATTTTGCGCGCGAAAAGTTTCCAGCCGTTTTACATTATGCACTAGAAAAATCAAGCGCAAAACCTAGATTTAAAAATATATTTTTTAAAAATAATACTTTATACAATAAAACAGAATGTGATTTTCCGACTGCGTATTTTGATATCTATTATCTTCTTCATAACCAATCTGGACAAAGTATATGACAAACATATGACGAAGTTGTTTTTATTACGTAATATTAAATACGTTATATCTAATCGTATATCTAATTATAGCTTAATCTCTTGCTAGCTTTAAATTGAGTTTCACAAAAAATGAATGAAAATTGATGACACGATGTGATTGGCATTTGTTCTTCACGTCTATGTTTTATGTTTGCAATTTTTTCTTATTACGTAATAAAAACATACAATCACATCTTTATTTTAATACAATACGTATACGAAAAAAAGAAGCTTAATATTATCTTTCGCGGACGATAATCTCAAGAGCTTGTTTTCCGAACCGACCTAACCGAAAGTCGAAGGTGTACGTTTGCATAACATATATAGATTTAACTGACAATGAGAGAAATGCGCTGTTCGTTCAGCGAATCGACTACGAGAAATGCACAAGCACGAAGCACACGGACGCGAATTATTTACAAATGAATAATCGCTCGTGAGTCAACGGAAGGAGCCGAGTAAGAGAGAGAGAGAGAGAGAGAGAGAGAGAGAGAGAGAGAGAGAGAGATAACGCCTTGTGTCGCCGTAAATGATTCATGGATTCTGTGTGTTCGTTAAAGCCTTTCTGTAGACGATCGTACAGCGCGGGAATGCCAGATTAGATACGTAAGCGGCATTTATGGCGAATGGAATTAGAAGACTAACTACGCTTATCGGACCCATATACCTAGTTTCCGTTTGAGCTATCGCCGTTTCAACTATCGCGTCGGAGGCTGACCGCGTGATTCGAAAAGTATTTTTTTAATCGGTTATTGTGTGTGCACTCGAATCGCTCTGTTTGCGCGCCCGATGTTTCTCCAGCGCTGCACAAAGCGAGCGTTGTATAGGCGCCGTTATATGGAAGCGAAGTCAAAAGAGTTTCGGTCGTATTGAACAATCGTTTGGAATTGATATTATATCGCACCGATTCGATCAATGATACTGCCGATATTCTTGGAAATTGCATTTTCTGCATACTTTTAAACGATACTTTCGGAAACTAAATCGGTCGTGAAAGATATCAACATTAAAGCAAACTACGTGTTACGTTGTACTTTTATCACCTGTTCATTTTTGTAATTAGACGACACATTTTATACATCCGAAACCATTCTGAAGAGGGCAAAGTTACTTCTCGAAACATTTACTTTGAAATTATTCCGCGTCCGCGAGTACTGCAGATATTATCTGTTTTACGAAATTGCGAAATTGGAATGTATAGCACTGCGTCGGAACCTGACCTCGTGCAACCTCTCAACTTCGGCTTCATTTTCCGGATATATTCCTCCGCTCAGTGGGTTAAGACGCCCGGTAGCCATAAACATGGGTGGTCGCAGTTGGATCCAAGCCCAACACTCGAAAAGCTTTCTTGTAGTGGGATACGGTAGCACGAGTCGATTTTCGCCACGGAACGAATCGACAGGATGTTTGTTAGACACAAAACGACTCTCTCTTTCTCTTTCTCTCTCTCTCTCTCTCTCTCTGGGCGCATGTTCCGATAAAACGATCGACCGGGTATCCGGGGCCATTAACATATTAATTCAATTATTCAGTTTAGAACGCTATATTACGCTGATCGATGTTTGTAAACCGTATTGCATTTCTAGCATGAAACGTTGCGAGCATACGCAAATAATTTAGCAGGATGGAACGACGAATTTCAACCCTCCACTGATCCGAGTTTTAGTCGGAAATATAAAGCGATATGATAATACCCGCGATATACAAAATGTTGCGAGAATACAGCAATTGATATAGAAAAATTGTTTCCCTTTTTAATACAATTTAAAATTTCATTACGAATGTCACGTGAACTGAATTACGAAATTAATATACTACATACTCTTTATAATAGCTGATATTATCCTAATTATTATTTCAAATAATTATATAACGTCATTGATACAACCTAATTAAATAAATATTACCTCATAAGTTTTGCAGTTATAATTGTTATAAAACATGAAAATTATATGAAGATGTTAAATGTTTAGAAATTTGTATTTTGCATGGTTCTAATGAAAAATCATAGAGTTGCAAAATATTTCGTTAAACGAGACTTGACGAGACTCGTGTCGCCTGTATATTTTCCTGTAACGCAAGTTTCCTTGTATGACTCTATCATTATCTGCATACCGCAAACCAAGGTGAATAACAGCCATGTTTCCGATATTTGGTGCACGTTTCCTTTATACACTACACCGGTAGTTTCGACGATCGGTGTCTTACAGAGCGCAGCAAGAAACGCGCTAAGAATGACGTAACTCCGGTTACATAATGCCATGGCAAACGTTTGCAGCGTGCGCGTGTAGTACCAACTATTCGTGTCAACTATTATTCTTCGAACGACCCTCGGCATAGCGTCGTTGGCCGCGCTGTGCACATTTGCGCATCCTTGGAACTGGAATTTATGGGACGAGGTCGCCCATAGGTGCCCGTCGTAGCGTTTAGGATTTTGTTCGACGTTGTATCCGCAATTTCGCGAGATACTAGACAAATAAATAGATAGAGCGTTTATTATGGTTTTAAGACGACTCCTCTAAAAATCTATACACACGAACATAGACTATTATGACAAGAGAGAAAATAAAATAACATAAATTATATAAGCAAAATGAACAAAAAGAGAATAACGAAATTCAGTACAAAATAAAGATTTAAATAAAGTAGCAAGAGAAAGAATTCGAAAGAATAAACAGTAATAGAGACTGTGGGAGCCAAGTAGGAAGTGCGCAAAAATAATAAACTTTTTATTGTACGGTTACACCTTTTCTCACACAACTTTGAGATTCAAACTCTTACAATCTTATAAACAGACGTTTCGGCTCCGAAATTTGAGCCTTTTTCAGTGATGAATAAAATGAATTGAAAAGAACAATTGAAGCCGCATGTGTTGCGTTGGATGCTGCCAGTCAATTTTAGGAATCAATAGATAAAATATTTAAAATACGTTGTCCAAAGAGAAAAA